CATTTTTTTTTAAAAAAAAAAATCACTATATTGACGAAGATGGACAATACCTAATGTTTATTTCTTTGTTAGGTAAGGGTTTTTTTTTTTTTTTTAATAAAAAAAAGAAAAAGAAAAAAAGAAATAGCATGTGTGAAGATATGAATCAATTCATGATATAAAAGCTGAGTCAGAGGAGATATTCGAAAAAGATGGATATTTTAGACAATTATTAATACAAATACATATAGAAATCTGGCAAAAATACAAAAACATAACTTGTATAAAAATGATTAGTTGATTTTAAGTTGCACCGTCTTGTATAACTGACCCAAAAAATAACACCAACTTGAACACTTCAAAATGAAATGAAATTAATCAACTAACGAGCCTCATACAATATTTCTTTTAATAAAAAAAAGCTCATCATCTTCAGTCAAATTAATCCAAACTATTAATTTCATAACATTTCCTCGAATCATGTCTTGAATTGTTCAAAGGGTAGAGAAATTGATTAATATCATTAATCCCACCTATAAATTTAGATGCAATTTGTGGAACTTCAACACACCCAAAAAGACGAGAGCAAGGAAAGATGAAAAGCTGTTTGCTGTTGTGTTTGGTCTTGGTGGTAGGGTTGAGTGAATTTGTAGAAGGTAGTGGGTTGAAGGAAAACTTTTACGAGAAAAGTTGCCCTCATGCTGAGGAAATTGTGAGGGAAATCACTTGGAATTACGTTGCCAATAATGTTACTCTGCCTCCCAAGTTTCTGAGAATGCATTTCCATGATTGCTTTGTGAGGGTAATACACTAATCTTTCGCCTTTCTCCTTTACGTTCATGCAAATTTCCATGAACCCATGTGGAAGTATATATAGCATACGCTATCACATACTTGCAAGACTATATATGTGTGCCTGCGCACATGTGTGTTTGTGTATGTATCTGCATCTCAATAGCATATTAAAGTTTTTTTTTTTTTAATAAATATTTAGATTGAGATTCACATAACTTTTAAAAATTTAAATTCAAGTTGTTAATAATAGTTGATCCTAACACTTATATCACTCAATTATACATTTACTTCCTATGTGGGGTTCGGATCATATACAATATGCTTTTGAAATTGAATGCTATCTAGAATTGTGGGTATAATTTTTTGTTCCTGTTTCTCAGGGTTGTGATGGTTCAATATTGATAGACTCTACACCAAACAACACCGCTGAAAAGGCAGCAGTACCAAACCTAAGCCTGGCAGGATTTGGAATTATAGATGACATCAAGGCCCAGCTGGAGGAGATTTGCCCTGGAGTTGTTTCCTGTGCAGACATAGTAGCTTTAGTAGCTAGAGACTCTGTTTCCTTCCAGGTAATTATACATCTTCTTACTTTCATTTATATTTATTAGAGGTGTAAATGAGCTGAGGCAAGTCAAATCAATGCGATAACAACCTCAAACTCAAGATTAAAGTCAGAAATGACTACTGTATTAATTTTGCTGATTGATTTTGGCAGTACAAAAAGCCTCTCTGGGAAGTACCAACAGGCAGAAGAGATGGAACAGTTTCCAATGTCTCGGAGGTTCTTCTCAACATTCCTTCTCCATTCTTCAACTTCACCCTTCTCGAGCTTTTCTTTGCCAGAAAAAACCTCACAGTTCAAGATCTTGTTGTTTTATCAGGTAAATTTAATTGATTAGTAATAAACGAGCAGTAGAATTCTCAATTAAAAAAATTGAGCAAATTATGTTTTCACACTATTCTACCTAAGAAAAGAGAAGAATTGGTTGTAATTTGATCAGGTGCGCACACAATTGGAGTGGGACATTGTGCATTCTTCAGCAACAGGCTATACAATTTCACAGGGAAGGACAATCCATCAGATACAGACCCATCTCTCAACAAAAAATACCTAGCTTTCTTAAAAACCAAATGCAAAAGCCTAGCAGATAATACAACAGTAGTGCCAATGGACCCTGGAAGCTCCACATCTTTTGACAACCATTATTTCAAGATCCTGGAGCACCATGAAGGCTTGTTCCAGTCTGATGCTGCCCTGTTAACCAATAAGGATTCTGTCAAGTTTGTTCAGGAGATGCTCGATTCGGACGACTTTTTCTCTGAGTTTCGTGTCTCTATAAAGAAGATGGGGGAAATCGGAGTGCTTACTGGAACTGCTGGACAGATCAGGAAGAAGTGCAATGTTGTCAACCATTGATCAAGCTGCTTTGGTTTAATTAATATTTCACTTTTTTTTTTTTTTTTAATTTTCCTATCATATGTTTCACCATAAGATAAAATATTTTCTTCAATTTCGAGTTATGATCTGTTTCAGTGTTCCTAAAAAAAATCATCTCAATAAAATTTGTCTTTTCTAGTCAATGATTTTGATAGAGTCAATTTAATTTCGAGAAAAATATATGCTAGTTGAACTCAACAAATGCACATTTTTAATAAAAAAACAATAAAGCCTCAAAATTGGAAACTGTTTCCATTTCCATATAATCATAGAACATATCAACAGAATTAGATTTTTTACTCTTTATATCCCAACTAAAGAAAAGGTTCCAATTATGCTTTTGATTTCGGGTCCCGCAAAGCATTCGACAAAGTACACAGCCTTTAATTAGTATTTTAAATGCTTTGCATGAAGGTAGTCAATTTTCTCCCAAGACCAAGGCACTGAGGCAGGAACATTGTTGGAAGACAAGCAACATTCTGCCTTTGGTTATATCATTTATAATCCACGACAATGAAACCTAATGTGAACTTAAGCCATGTGAACAAGTTTTTGCAATGGTTGTAATGATCTTGTTTATGGTCAAAGAAAGCATGAAGTAGTATATGTTATCTTGTCCAGCCAACATCAATAATGTAAATTTCTCCACAATCAACGTATCATTGTTTGAATATCATGTTTTAAGCAAGAAATTTTCTTTTATTCTATAATTAACTGCAATCAAAGCCTTATTTCATATCATAATGATATAATCATTAAAAAGAACTATTTTAGAGAAAAATATATAAATGAAGTGCCAACACCACTTTTTTGAAAATTAAAAACTATATACTTCTCATTGTTGTTATTTGTTTGTTTACTTTGATTTTTGTGCACACAATTTTAATAATGTTTTATATAAGATATAAATAATAATTAAAATTTTTTAAAGTGAATAAAATTATTACTTAACAAGAATTATTTTTACTTATCATTTATATGTTATATAAAAGTATTAATTAAATTAGACTTTTAAGTTTAGTAACTTGTTTCCAAATTTTCATATTTAAATTAAATTTATCGAAAATTCAACTCCTACCAACTACTTGAAAAAATATCCCTTTACCCATAATTCCCCATGTTTGAAATATATATATATATATATACAAACACAAAGGCATTAATTAACATTATGTACAAAATTACATACCTAACTTTATAGGCCGATTGATAACGGTGTGTATCACCCAACCTCATAGGCTAGGTTCAATCTCCCCTCCCCCAAAAATTGCCCTTGATAAAAAAAAAAAAAACATTATGTACAAAATTAATTATATAAACAAATAAACAGAAACAGGGGAGTATGATGCTCTGAAAAATTAACTTGTCAAATATGGATGCATAATTAAATTAAACATCCTGGATTCATTCAAACTTGAGGAATAAACAAATGGATATTTTGACAAAAACCTAAAGTGATTTTAATAATCAAACGACAAACAAGCTTGCCTCAATGATTCCATACAGAGTTTGACTTCAATTCCCTATAAAAGGAAACCCCTTCTAGAGCTCATAACCCCTGTGCTATCAATTAAGCTACTTGGCTCTTGTATTTCCTTCTTCATTCTTGATTCTATATATTGCTAATTACAAAAACAAAAATGAAGGCCGGGGAGCACGACATTTCCATCCCCTTTCTTTATGTTACCGCATTGTGGATAGGAATAGCCTCAGGGCTCTGCAATGCACGTGGGTTAAAGGTGAACTTCTACCACAACAGTTGCCCTCAAGCTGAGAAGATTGTCAAGGACATCACGGAGAGCAGAGTTCGATCCAACCCTGTTTTGCCTGCCAAATTGATTAGAATGCACTACCATGATTGCTTCGTTAGGGTATATATATTATATACATCTACACATTTTGTCACTTTATGTGTCCATTACATGCATGCATATATTTAAACATTCTTGCGTGAAATGTTACTGTGCCAGGGTTGCGACGCATCCATACTATTGGATACAGTTAATGACACAAAGTCTGAGAAAGAAACCGTACCGAACCAAACCCTTTCGGGCTATGAAGTGATTGATGATATCAAGGCTAAGATTGAGCAGGTTTGCCCCGGAGTTGTGTCATGTGCTGATATTCTTGCCCTTGCTGCTCGTGATTCTGTTTCCTTTGCGGTGAGCATTTTCATTCTATGAACCAACCAATACATATATTTTATAAGATTACAATATTTTTCACAGTTCAAACAGTAAAACATAGATTTGAGAGTCTGTCCCTGCATTCAGGGGCCCTTATCTGATGGCTACACCAAACATTTTTTGTACCTTAATGTTAAAAAAATTATGTTGCTAATTTCTACTCTTGTTTACAGTTCAATAGGCCCTTGTGGGAGGTGCCAACAGGAAGAAGGGATGGCAGAATCTCCTTAGCATCCGAAGTGCTTGATAATCTCCCATCCCCATTCTCAACGTTCGACTCTCTTTTGCAAATGTTCAGTAACAAAGGTCTCGATCTTAAAGACCTCGTACTTCTATCAGGTGCACATACTCTTGGTGTTGGACACTGCAGTGCTTTCTCAAGAAGGCTCTACAACTTTACAGGAAATGGTGATCAGGATCCTTCCCTGGACCCAGCCTACGCCGAGTTCCTGAAAAAGCAGTGCCCCAATCCAGCCAACCCTGCCACCACCGTGGAAATGGACCCTCAGAGCCCACTCTCCTTCGACAAGCATTACTACCAAACTGTGCTAGAAAACAAGGGCTTATTCCAATCAGATGCTGCACTCCTCACCAACAGAGATTCAGCAAAGATTGTGAGACGACTCCAAATCTCCCATTCCTTCATAGCTTACTTTGGAAATTCCATGAAGAAGATGGGAGCCATGGGAATTCTCACAGGAGATGCTGGAGAAATCAGGAAACAGTGCCGTTTCATTAATCCATGAAACATCAAATATACAAGATATATATGTTTTAGTTTCTGTTTAATGTTCCTTGTTCAATAAAAGGTTCTCCATAGAGAGATCTAAGCTAGTGATTAATATACAAACTAAAAGATTGTATTGTTTATTCTTTATATCTTATATGAAAAACAAAATATATACAAATAAGAGCTGAAATGTTGTGATGTGGAGAATTCCACATCGCTTGGGATCAATTGTGACTCAATTGGGTACACAAGTCTTACTACAAACCATGTTTTTCCTCAATTTCACAAGGACATTATCTCCAAAGCCTCTCTTTTTTGTCCAAGAATGTTGAATACAGTAGCAGCAATATGAGATGGTGTAAGACCAGCTTGGACAAACTGGTCTGCCGGGGATCCATGATCGATGTATTGATCGGGAAGAACAATAGGCCTCCACTGTAAAAGAAGATTTAAAACCAGAAGGGAAAGTCTCAAAAACCGTTTTAGTCCAAAGTTTAAGCCATCAGGGAGTATCAAGAATTGTAATACCTTTACTTTGCCATCAAGAAGACCATCAAGAGCAAGGAACTGTGCTACATGAGAACCAAAACCTCCAATTGATCCTTCCTCCACTGTTATCAGAACCTCATGTGATTTTGCCAGTTTTCGGATGAGACCATGATCCAATGGTTTACAGAATCTGGCATCTGCCACTGTCAATCTTAAGCCATGAGATTCAACTAGAGAGGCAGCAGCTAAACAGCTCTGAACTGCTGTTCCATAGCCTAATAGTGCCACTCTCTCCCCTTCTATCAATAGCCTGCCTTTTCCTATCTGTAGGAAGGAACATTCAATGAATATTTTAAGTTGTTTTGACGAAAAGAATGAAGAGAGACTTGGTTGAATCTCACCTCCAGAGGGATCCCTTTGTTTCCAGGTGGCAGCTGAACGCCAACACCATTTCCTCTTGGGTAACGGAAACAGCTGGGCCTGTCATTTATGGCAGCAGCAGTGGCAACCATATGAAAAAGTTCTGCTTCGTCAGAAGGAGCCATCACCACCATGTTGGGGAGACATGCCATAAAAGTAACGTCAAAAGATCCACAATGTGTTGGACCATCAGCACCAACCAGACCAGCCCTGTCCATTGCAAATCTTACTGGCAGCTTCTGCAAATCGACATCATGCACCACCTGTTGCAGGAAACAGACCACATTCTTAATACATTTGAAAGCAAAAGTTTAATTGAAGAACACAATTGATCTTCAGTGATCTATCAAAGAGAAGTAACATATTAGCTTGCCTGGTCATATGCCCTTTGCATGAAAGATGAGTAGATCGCACAAAAAGGTTTAAGGCCTTCACAGGCCAGACCTGCAGCGAAAGTGACGGCATGTTGTTCAGCTATCCCAACATCAAAACACCTTGTTGGGAAGCGGCGAAGGAAGTGATTCAATCCCGTTCCACCTCCCATTGCAGCATGGATGGCAACAATAGCTTTGTCTGCCTCTGCTTCTGCAATCAGAGCCTCCGCGAAATACATGGTGTAAGACTGGGTAGTGGCACTGGCTTTGAACTGCTTTCCAGTAGCTGGATCAAACTTTACCACTCCTGAGAAATCAAGCCAAAAGTAATTTATTCTTTTCTGTTCCTCGTTTAATGGTACACAATGAGCAAGAAGTAAGCTTAATGATCTTCTATAGTTAGCATTAGGGGGTCTATTCCTGCTCTACCCAATGACTAAAACTACCAAATGTAAATAAGTCCTAAAGTTCTGCTAGTGTTACTCTGCACTTACCATGGTATTTGTCTGCAGCTCTCTCTGCATATGGATAACCTCTGCCTTTCTCAGTCACAACATGGATCAAGACAGGACCTGTTGTCTTGGTACTCTTTACCTCTTTCAGAATAGCAACTAGATCATTTATGTTGTGACCATCAACAGGACCAATATAGTACAGACCAAGCTCTTCAAAAAGTGTTGATCCAGAGCCACTGATCATACCACGAGCATATTCATCCACCTTTGCAGCCAGTTCATGCATAGGCCCACCAATCTGCTTGGTAACTCCCTGAAGTAGTCTCAATGGATGGAATACAACTCAGTTTCAATTGGTTCAGTTTTCCAAAGAGAAATAATATTTTCTACAACTTTTTACTTACCTTGGCAACTTCTCTTAGTTCTCTGAGAGGCCTGTTTGATTGCAGCCTACTTAGGGCACTGCTTAAAGCACCTACAGGTGGTATTGGTCCATCTAGTGAAGCAGTTGGTAGAGAAACCTGTTTGTTGTCATTAAGAATAACAATCATGTCAGAATCCAAGTACCCAGCATTGTTCATGGCTTCATAAGCTTGCCCTGCTGTCATGGCACCATCACCTATAACAGCAATCACATGGTTCTTTCTTCCTTTTAGATCCCTCCCCACAGCCATTCCTGTACACACAAAATCTCAGAACAAGTATGCAAGGAAAAACTGAAATTGAACTAGGATTTGAATCTTGGGATTAAAAATTAAAATTCTCCAAATTAATTCCAATCATAATTATTGGAAAGCTAAGCAAAATTTTTCAAACAGTAGTGTTATAGAAAAATGAAATGTCAGGACTTAGAGATAAGAATTGTATAACTGGCATATATTCTGAACACAAACAAATAAAGCTATCAACTTCTCCTTATTACTACTAACATTACTAGAATCATTCTTCAGAGTATTCATGTGCTTTAGTGGGTAATAAATTGAAGACTTTAGGAAGCATTTATTAATATAACTACCATTTAGGTACTAAGAAGACAACTAAAACTGTCTTTGGAAAGATTTGGGCTTATGTATTTGTCCAATACTGGAAACATTCATTATGTTATAGGGCAGAATGGAAACACCAGATTATTACCCAAGCCAGCAGAGATACTGGTTGAACTGTGACCGGCCCCAAAAGAATCGTATTCGCTTTCTGATCTTTTGGTGAATCCTGAGAGTCCATTTGTCTGCCTCATGGTATGCATCTTATCTCTTCTTCCAGTCAAGATTTTATGAGGGTAAGACTGCAAAAATTAATACTATAAGTCATACCAAAACTAAAAACCAATTACAACAGCAACGGTTGTAGTATGAATTACACAAGCATGAAGTAACTAAAAGAGATGAAAAACGAACCTGATGACCTACATCCCACAATATCTTGTCCCGGGGAGCATCAAAGACATAATGAAGGGCCACAGTGAGCTCCACAACACCAAGGCTCGAGCCTAAGTGTCCCCCCGTTTTTGAAACATTAAAGATCACATCAGACCGCAGCTCATCAGCTAGTTGTTTGAGCTCCTGTGTCAATAATAACTAAGCAGTTTATAACAAATTCCACATGAAGAAATGAAGGTCTTACAGTTCATAAACAAATAGAACAGTTATTTACCTTGAGAGACAGGTTTTTCATGTGAATTGGATAGTTTACGGTATCCAATAGAGGCGTTTTAGGCCTCTGAGAGTGATATTCTCCTTGCTCTGATAGTGATGCACAAACCCTACTTGGCCTTTTTCTAACCTGTGCCTAATCACAAGCAAACAATCCATTTCTTTCAATAATCATTACGTTAACTGAAACCAGCGAACAACTGAATTTCAGATCAAAACTAAACCAAGCAGCATACTTCAACACAAGTCAGCAATAACTTCAAATACACTAGGACTTCAAAGTTCCACCAAAATGAACAAAACCCAGATTTCATTTTCACAAGTAGAAAAAGTGAGCTTCATTGTGACATAAACAAAAACACATAGAATACATAAACATATGGCCCACCTGATTGATCTTGTGTAGAGATTGGCAAAGCATATCTGCTCCAGAAAACAAATGGGAAGATGGAGGAGAGAGCCTCAGAGGGTCTGAAGCAGCTGCTGCTGAGAAAGGAAATGAAAATGTACAGAGAGCCATAACAGTTGCCCTCACAACAACACAAAGAAAACTAACTCAACAACCTCTTAAACTATGATTTAACCCCAATATAAAAACACCCCATGTCAAGCACAGAGTACAACAAGATAAAAAGAATGCTCTTTTTTGTGGTTCTGAGTATATCTATCTGTTCAATGAACTGTGGTTAGTAGGAGTAATAATGGAGGGCGCGGAGTATTAAGTGAGACTTGGGATTAAAAAATAAAAAACAAAAGAGAATAAAAAGTCAAAATGAATCAAAAACCCAAAATCAAAAAACGTTTATGGAGACACAAATGCTGAGGGAGGGATCAAATCAAGGCAAAGTTTTAATCTTTGATTTCTTTCTTTATATAGTATGTCGTACAGAAGGGTTTGGAGAGGGTTTCCACTTTTCCGGATGAGAAGGCAAATCATAATCCCATTGGACCACGTCGACGAAAATCGCATTTTGGATAGAGTGGATTGAGAGATAAATTAGATACCACTGCAACTTTGTTGTGGATGTCTTTATGCTGGGTTGTGGGGAATCCGGAGAGGTCGGTCCCCTGGGATTACCATCTTGTGATTGGCTGGATTTCCAGATTTTTTACAATACAAGCGAATATAAAACTCCGACTCTTATCTATTGGGATGTTTTCTACGTAAATCTTAACTCTTACAAAAATAATTTAAATTAGATTTGACTACATCAAAACATAAACAGAAATAATTTAAAAGGTTACATGAAATTTTAAAAACTATACAATTTAAGAGACATTTCATTTGTATTTTTTCAAGATCTCCTTCAACATCTTTTCATGAATTTCTCGCTGTAGTGGACTCATGGAAGCATCGTCCGCCAAAAGGATTTTGATTCCTACCTCCTTCTCTTTGAGAGCTCTATCTCCTTCTCTTTGACTCAGGAAAAATGCATGATGGCACTGTTTCTCTCTTCTTCTTTTTTTTCCAGAGATTTAAGTTTCTCAAATCTTGCCTGAAAATCTGTTTCGGATTCCTCCTGTAGTTTCTCTTTTACCTTCTTTTCACAGCTTTTCCATCAATAGGCTGGACCTCACATTCTTCAGAGACACCAACTTCACCAGGCGTATCCGGATTTGATGACGACATATAGGCTCCTGATTCGGATACCTTCATTCTCTTGCAACAAGAACAACTGTTGCCTGATGTGTCATGGCAAGCTTTCCATTTTGGTTCATCCTTTAAGAGTCTCCATGCATGCTTCAATAAGAACTTCTTACCAATCTCTTCCCCGTACAGTTGATGTGCTCTGTTGATGATGTCCTCCACGGACATCCTGCCCCGGCGTCCTTGGGAGACTTGGCTGTAGAACCCAACAAAGTGCATAACTGCTCGATTCAATTTATGCCAATGTTGTCTCAATTGGTTGGAAGTAATTCCTCCTCCATCTTTGCGGTGCTAGTTAAAGTACTCTGCCATCCGGTTCCAGAAAGAATCCACCTTCTGCTCATTCCCCACCATTGGGACGTCCTTGGAAATCTTTAACCATGCACTTATCAGGAGCTTCTCATCCTGATATCGATGACATCGTCGGGCACCTTCACCATTTTCTTTATCAAGCGCAGTGACTTCAATCCTGTCACCAACCCACTTAAAATTCAAAATTGATTAGCTTTGCCCAGTGTTGAAGTCAGCTTCTAAAAGACAAACAAAATCAAATCAAATGCTTTCAAGAAATAGCAATGCTTATAGGCTTACAATTATGACCATAGAGTATATATATATTATTATTTTTTTCCTTAATTGCACCATAAGAGGTAACTTTCTTCCGTTTCTCTGGTTGCTTATCCCACCCGCATGCCATTTGAACTTAGGGTGATTTTTGTTTTTTTTTTTTTATAAGAATAATGGTTAGTAGGTTAGTATTATTAGAAGTTAGCAACTAAGTATTCAATTCCAGATGTGGTGAACAGCCCACAGACCTCAACCAGTCAGCGCGGCCATCAGACCACTTGGTGGAGTTCAAACTTAAGGTGATTTGGACTTAGGGCATCTGACTTTTAGCGAAAAAGATTACTATTGAGCTGCTTAGGTTATTTGCAGATGACATCAAACATACACATTATGTTTATGTTATAAGCTTACTATGCCATCGGACATTGTAGCATTTTCTTTTGAGAAAAAAAGAAATCCAATCCAAATCCTAATTTCATGGCAATAAAAACTCTGCACATTTGATTTATACTTATTCAAGTGCAGTAATGCACCATGCTCAGATTCAAGAATTCAATGAAAGAATAACAAATACAAATCATATCAATACACATTAAGTTTGAGAATTGAGCATTTTTGGGGAGGGTTGAGAAAATGATACCGGATCCTCCTTCGGATCTCTTCTGTTTCCAGCTCTTCTCCCGCCTTCTTCGATCATTTGGTTCTGCTTGGATTCTTCAGTCTCACCCTCATTCATTAGGGATCCGTGACCCAAACTCTCTTCCCTGTTCGATTCCACTTTAATTTCTCCGATTTTACTTTATGCTTTCGACGGCTAAGATTTTTCCGGTTATAGTCTGGTGCTCTTACTGTTTCTTCAAGCTGTTGGTGCTCAGGAGGCTTTGGGGCTGAGGTTCAGATCCACGGTGAGGAAGAGAGTGGCTGTTTGGATGAGATAATGGGTCGGTGAAGAAGCAAGGATCGAGTGGAGACTAGGGTGTGTTTCGGTGAGGATAGGCAGAGGAGGGAGAGGAGTGCGGCGGAGAGATGGAATCCGGTGCGGAAGATGGTGTCTGCACTGCGGCGGAGGGAGGGATCGAGGGTCGCCATGGAGGCTGCGGCAGCAACCCTAAAATAAGTGTATTTTATATGATGGGCTTCAGGTTTGAGCAAATGAATATGGATCAGGTTGAATTCGTGTTTGAGATTTTTAGTGGGCTTGTGTTGTGGACCAGGTTCTTTTGTTTCTTTGATATTGTTGTGGGCTGGGCTCACCGAATTGGGTAATTCAATGCCTTTTCCAATGGTCCTTTGGGTCAACTTTAATTTCTCCTTTTTCCATCTTTCAATTTGGTCCTCAAACTTTCCTTTTAACCAGCTTGGTCCCTGAAACATAAAAATTAAAACATGGTTTCACTATCTTCCTTTTGGGTCATGCTGCAATTCCCATCTTGTAAAATTCATGTCATTTTTTGGATTTTATCTCCTTGAATTAAAGATAAAAAATTTTAAATATCTTGGTTTGTGTCATTCTCGTATCTAATTATCAAGTTGCAACCTATGGTTAAAATACCGACCAGGGCAACAAAATATCAACCCATTAGCTGTTGCTAGATATTGAAGTTGACAAGTATTAACTTATTTCCAAAAGCATCGCAAACAAGAATCAACCTTCTCTTTCAAATAGTATAAACTCCACTGACATTTTGTTTACACCATAAATTATATTTTTAATAATGTCACATGTTAATGGATAAAGTAAGATCAAATCTACTGAAGGAATACATATTTGTAAAAAATGGTTGAGAAGATAAAAATTATCTAATTTGTTACAGCTTGAATTTAAAAAAAGAAACAAAAATCCCTAGAATTTGGGAAGAAATTCAGTTGAAGAGTTATCCATGTTCTGATAACCGAAGAGACAATTTACAAGAAGGATACAAATGGAAGTTTTCTGATTTTTTTTAACACACAGTCAACTTTTCACAGAACTTAGAACAAGTTTCAATATTTCTAGACCATCTCTTTAGCTTTCAAATTCCTTTTTCAACACAGTACTTTGTAGAATTTAGATTGTCAGTTGTTTAGTTTTCACTTCTACAATTGCGTCTAATGTAATGAACAACAAAATATTCTTATTTATGCAAGTCCTTGAGAATAATCAAGACAAATTAACAATCCATTTTATAGAAAAGAATTCCTTCCTCTTACAAATCATCTTAAGGGCGCATGACTCAATCTTAAACCAACGTTCTTCCAACCATCCTAATGGAAGTCGATTGTGTAGAAGGAGAAGGTCATTGGAAAAATCATTTTTTCTTGCTTTTCAGAAAAGTAAGTGGCACATCTATATCTAAATTCCACACATGTGAAACCACTTAAGGATTTTTGAGGAAACACATTTATCCTTGATGCTAACCAACCAGACCCGACTTTTCCATCTTTGAAAGAAATTGGCTTTGCACATCTCTAACCTAAAACCCTGGTTCCCCGTATCACTTTAGGCATTAAACATGACAATGGCTAAAATGCAAATGAAGATGATCATAGAGGACCTTGATTCTGAAACCTACCAGCATATAGATAGATAACATAAAAGTTAGATAACCTACCAAACTGCACGGTAGCTCCAATCCAGAAAAACAAAAAACAGAACTGATAATAGAGAAATATAATTTAGATATTTATAGAACCTATGCCATTGAAGATAATCTAATTTGATTCCAAGTTCCAGGCAGCCCTATGGCTTAAGCTTGACATATCCATGTGCCACCATCACCAATGGAGAGAAAGCAAATACCAAACATCCCTGGACTCACCACTTATCCCTCCATGTAATTTCTGAACATGACCCTGCCACCACCAAATGCCAAGCCCCCATGCGTGCATCTAAGAAGAAACTTGTACACAGCAGACACCAAGTTCCACCAGGACGAAATGTGTAATTATCATAAACATAGACATCCAGAGGAATGACTGTCTTTTAGAGAACCAAAACCATGTAATGTAAATAAATTGACACCACTAAATCAAGGAGCTGAATATTACATAATTAACCAGTTCAAAATCTTAATAGGAAGCAACATTATCTAAATCAACTATAAAATTTCAAACATCAGGTCAAATCATGGAAAACATCACAATCTGCACTAACATGGGGATTGAAAAGATTAGTTTCCAGAATTTATTTGGGAAAGAAGCAAGGAGGTAAAGGAAAGGGATAACAATGAACGCAGCACAAAAATGCTTTAGAAAAAAATTCTCAACAGCCCATAATTTGAAGCTTCCTACCAAGAGAAATAAACAGTTCTACATTGATTCTTCAAAAGTCTTAACTCAAAAGAAACAGCTAATAATTCCGGCTTTCTATTTCATCTTCTGTTCTGTAAACAGAACATGACGATTTACCCGAGGATCATATTTCCGGAACTCAAGTTTCTCAGCTACTTTCTTAGCACTCTTCCTCTTGACATAGAAGAATCCAGTCCCAGCAGCCGACACAAGACGAATGAACATGAAAGTCTTCTTCTTCTTGTCACCCATTCCTTGATACATGCAAGAGAAAAAGCAATCAAACCAGCAGAACATAAATTTCTAACAAACAAACCCACAATAAATCGATTGTCCATTCTTCAAAAATAATACACAAGACACAATTTTGCAGAACACCCAGCAATTGTATACACCCAAGTCAATTAGTTCTCTTTTAGTATGTAAAACCCAAGAAATAATTTCTATCCCCTGAAGGAAAAAGTAAATCAATAGAGTATGGCCAGCAGCAAAAATATGCATTTGGGTCTACAATTAACAATAAGCTAATCAAAAATTTTTTTCCCGATAGGCATAAATTGAATAGAATTTTCAACTTACCGTATGATTATCGAAGCTTCGAAGAGATTTTGAAGAAGACAGCAGGGAAGAGACTGAAGCAAGGGTTCTTGCTTCTTGGGCATATAAATAAATAGATGATAAAAAAAATTAAAAAAAAAAAAAAACCAGTTGGCTGAAATGACGTAAATGCCCTTGGAACTGCGTAGGACAGCATTTTCTCGGGAAAGTCTCGGAATTTCTCAGATTCACTAACCTAGTAGTTCTCTGGTTTGGGCATTTCTCAGCTGAAAATCGAACTGCAGAAAGGTAAATCGATACAGATGGATTTATTCATACTCTTTGAATTTATCCGTTTGGTAACTGAGAAAATGTTTTAGTTACTAATCTGTTTCGGATAAAATCAAAACTTGTCGCATTTCTTCTCAATTTTCTTTTCTTTTCCTCTATTTTCTCTGTAACCAAACGAAATGCCAAGGGAATGATCCAGATTTTTTTTATTTTATGGTTTTTTTTTTCTATTGAGCAGTGGTGATTGACTGAATCGGAGATGGCGAGCGCAATTGATGCGTCGGGAAATCCGATCCCGACATCGTCTGTGTTGACGGCGTCGGCGAAGCATATAGGGATTAGGTGCATGGCAGAGAACGTGGAGTTCCTCAAGTGCAAGAAGAAGGACCCGAATCCGGAGAAATGTCTCGATAAGGGCAAGGAAGTTACTCGCTGCGTTCTTGGCTTGTAAGTCTGGTATTATTAGTTTCGGCTTCTTGCTTTCTGCTGATTTATTGTGATTTTTCTGTTTTTTGCTGTGCTATGTATGGATGACGAGATAATGTTGAAACTGTCTGAAAAGAAAACAGAATTCACTAGTTTAGTGAGTGAGAAAGTGGAGAAGAAAGTGAAAATTGTTCATTTTCTTTAGGAAATGCTTTGTGCTGGAGATGTGGGATGATTAGCGATGAATTTTGATTCTGAATTAATGTTGAATCTGAATTTTCAAGGAGGAATAAGCTGTTGAATTGCAATAACCTGTGGTAGGCTATAATGACATTGGAGCAACCCTCAATTGTTTATTGTTGCAATTGCAGTTTTAGCTTAGCAACATGTTGGATGGGAAGCTTTGTCTCAGCATAGTGTTATGCCATGGCTGGGGCTTTTGTTGTGTCTTCTTAGACCTTCACCGGAAGCTTGTTATGAGATACATTCCACAATCATAGTTGACTTGGATTTGAGTGGAGTAGAATTTAGTGATATTTGATTCTTTATTGGTTGGTTGAGGGTAATCTTAGTATCATTTAGAGTTCCTTGGATTTTTGAAGTGATATACTCAAACATTATATATGGAAGATAAAATTAGGAAAAACAGATTCTTTCAAACTTATTGTGCAATACAATCCAATATATTGAACTCTGTTTTTGACTGTTGATAAATAAAAGACTTTGCAAATCTATGATGTATTGATGTTTGATATGTTTTCTCTGTGAGACCACTTCTCAAGTTGAGGGTTAAAGTAACTCATTTGAAATCCTTGGTTGCTATTTTAGAGCTGAGTAAAGATAAACATTAATTCATTTGACTTAGTGATATCTCTGATCCATGTAAGCTACCTCCTAAACATTCTTTTCATAAGAAGTGAAGTTTCAAGACTACAAAGATCAAAAACATGGCAGTGTTGTGTGACATTGGGATTTAGTTAATTTTAAACTTTCATAAAATGTGAGGTCATTGTTCTTTGGCTTTTTGAGAGAGCATGCAGAGAGTATCAGGCCTTAAATCATCAAAAAACACCTCTAGCCATCCACATAGAAAATCCACACTTCCATTCATTGAAGCAGCTAGCAAGAATTATAGTTTCCCCCTTAAGTGAAATTGGTGACTAAAACAATACTCATCTTTGCTTATTCTTCCCTCCTAGTTCTCAGTCTCGGCATGTTTGGTTGAGGGAAATGATTGTTGTTTAGCTTCAGTTTGCCCTTTTTCCCCATTAATATAGTTTCTCTTAGGTATTAGTTATTACATAACAAACCATTATGCCCTTATTGATTCTCATCTCTTTCTACTGATTTACAGATATTTAAATCAAATACTAACAAGGGTTTAGCCGAGTTGATACCCACTAACTATAGATATTGATATCAAATTGCCTCCTCTATAAAACCGTGCCAATGTCAACCGTATTATTAGTTTGTTCACTGATAGTCTGTGCAAAAACGTGTTTAACTTTCATATTTATCATGTATCAGATTTCTTCATATTGTTATTGAAGGCTGCTGCCAAAGAATATTAGGGATTCCATGTTACCAAAACTCAGAATGTACAAGTTCTATTAACCTGGTTGCATTCTTTAATTATATGATGTTTGGTTCTGCAGGCTAAAAGATCTTCACCAGAGATGCGCAAAAGAGATGGATGAGTATGTTGGTTGCATGTATTACCACACAAATGAGTTCGATCTATGTCGCAAAGAGCAAGAAGCATTTGAGAAAGCATGCCCCCTTAAGTGATTCACAAGTGATTTATGTTATTTCATGCTTAAAATAAGTTTAGCTCAATTTGCTGTGAGCAAACTCCGTTGCAGCGTACAATTTTATGGAACTTTTTTGCAGTATGTATTGTCTCCCTCTTGTCCTCGTTAAGATTGTTACTGAAAATGCTTCAAACCTAAAATCCACACTACTGCCTTTGAGCACAATCAAGTCAGTCATTTATATTGGGAGGATGTGCAAAATCATTTTGTAGGTGTTGAAACATTCTGTTAACCCCTGTTAATTACATGTAGTTAATTTCTATTTTAATTCATAAAATGATTATAAAATTGTCTATTTAACAGCAATATCATCCAGATTAAAGAAATTGGGGAAGAAATACCAAAAACATATGATAGTTTGGGTAGTCTGAACAGTTCTAATTGTAAACTAATCGTGCCGTGGTTGGCATATTTGATATTTTGATCATACGCTGACAACCATAAACTATAGTTTAGGTAATTGAACGCAAGATTCATATGATGCCGGAGTCATATTTATAAGTAAAAATTTTAAAATCCATCAAGCAGCTGGTGCTGCTTATGGTGCTAGAATACAAGCTACTAGAATTTTGAACACATCCCTCATCTGCATAAAACTATCAATCACATTTTCCAGCAGCAAGCATGCCAGCAGCATCAGGAGACAATTGGAACCTGTATACCCATTAACGAGGAATGTAGAGAAATGGATGCAAATTATAATTTCAATGATTGTACACCAGATAGGTAGTAGATTACTGTCAAAAAAAAAATCAGCGGCTACCTGAAGGATCATGATCAAGACCTTGAAGGACTGTGACCATCACCCTTTGGCCTGCTTGACCTCGGTGCATGGTCCATCTCATCATGGGGACCCCAACCACTCCCCCTTGGACTTGGGGACCTATAGCTTGACCTATATTCCCTCTCATCACGTGGAGAATACGACCTTGAAACTGATCTAGAACGCCTGTGAGAGTGATAATCATCTTTCACTACACGATCTCCTGAAACAGATCTAGATTGCCTGGGAGAGTGATAATAATCTCTTACTCGAACCCTGTCTCAAGTATTAACAGAAGACAGACGTTAGAAACTTTAGCTTGACTTACATCACATGTACAAAGACTACTAGGGGAAGATACAATCAGCTCAAAGAATTACCACTAGAAACAATGCATTAAAAAGTGAAACACTTCACAAACCCTGTGTGAATAAAACAGATGACACACTAAGCGAGGCAAAATTTTTAGCCTACATTCTCATACAAATCAATTAAATAAAATATTGACTACTATTACCTGCACCTTCCAGGTTTCATAACAAAATTATAAGAGCTGGAACCAAATATTGTGAGAGTTAAGCTCTCTAATGTTGTGCTGGTGGATCAGCATCTGACTCCATAGCTCTATGCCTCAACTTTCTATAACCTCATATTATCTTTTTTCTTGGACAATGCCAACAAACTTCTACCAGTAAAACTTTGATAGCCTTCCATTGTATGAAGATGATTCTTTCTTTGACCAAAGATAAGCTCTATGTTCTTTCTTAACTGGATAGTATATGCAAAAGAAGATATTAAGCTTAACAAATTTCTTATCAAAAGATTACTTAAATGTTAAGATTAAATGGAAAACATTAGGTACCCCTCTGACTCTTTTGATCCCACAACAAGTTTAGTCAGTCAGTTCTTTCAATGACAGCATGCCTCACAAACCAAGAGTAAAAGAATAGGATTCCTCGCAATTTGTGGACAATATCTGGTGAAGATGGAATTTGACAACACTAATGGAGAAGCTTTGACAGAAAGATAATCATGTCCATCACTTTATGATCACTTTTCTCTTTAATCTTTATTTACCCAGAAGTCTTTAAAGTCTCCCTCTTTTCACTTTACTATCTGCATAAACAAGGCCACCAGGAGATGCTTTTTAATTTAATTCACAGGAAAAGATTGCATTATGTTCAAGAGTCAACAATCATAGAACAGTAAAATTCAAACAACAGGCAGCTAATTTTTGCAGCTTTGGTAAACAAATTCTCACTACTTATAAGAAAGATATCAAGACAAACAAAATATTCACATAACCATTACCACCATATCATTACCGAATAAACTGAATCATAATCTAGTATATAAAAGTTATGTTAGCAAATATAAGTTAAATAAACCAAACCTTGAATCATGCCCAGTTGGTGAAGGTGAGGGTGAGTAAGCTGTAAAAGAGAAAATAGTTAAGTAGGTAAATAGATACGTAGCTTCTCTTTCCAAAAAAAAAAAAAGTTTTTATCAAAGAGATGTAGTCTGAAAAAAATAGAGAAATTAACAATAAAATTTTATAAACTGACAGTGATATTGGCGTCTTGGAGACCTTGGTGGAGTTCTTCTGTAGCTTCCTCCATATCGACCACTTTACATGGAAGAAAGAGTCAATCACAGTTGATGAAATCAATATCTCATTTTAATTCACAGGAAGGGCAGAATAACAGAAACATAAGAGGGAAAAAAAGTAAAAATAAAAATAAATGTAGACACTGCAACACCTCATGCGGGAACTCCCCATTTCTTGGGGAGTTTTCCTATTCTCCTCAGCAAAAACAATTCTTATCTCACGTCCACCGATAACTTGATAATTCATTCTTTGTTTTGCTTCAGCAGCATCTTCAGCATATCGAAACTTTACAAAACCAAAGCCTCGTGGCTCCCTATATATCACAACAACAAAAAATCACAACGATTGATATGCTATAGTTACAAATCATCTCTGAATCAGAAACAGATAAAAACTCAAATTCACTTAATATTAAAAAAAAAAAAAAGTTTTCAACTTCTATTCAAGGCATGAATTTCAAATCCTCAGAGTCAGAATTCACATAATTCAAACATAGTTTCCTTCACAGCAGTACCTAATAGTGTGCAACAACAATACTGAGTTTTTGAAGAATAAATATAAAGACTCTTTGCTCCAAACTGAAAGCTTACATGGAAAGAGCTTAAACTTGCCAGTGTCAAATCATAGGAGATGGTTATAAAATAAAATATAAAACTACATGAAAACAATTAAAGATATCATACTTTGCAAGAGAAACATAATCACTAGGCTATTATTTAAAAACAAACCATCAAAAGCACTAAAGAGTAACTAATATCATATTTTGCCAAATGACGTTACACAGAGGAATCACAAAACCAAAACGAAAAAGCATAGCCAATTACAACAAAACAGCATACCCAGTATAATAATTTTTTGGTAGATATACATCCTTCACTTGACCAAAACGCTCAAAAGGAGCCCGGAGATCTTCTGGCCTGCGCAGCACAAATGATATCAATATTAAGTATTTTATTCCAAGCACAAAAAAGAATGCAGTGCAGGGTATCTACAGAAGTATAATTTAGAAAACATTACATAAACTAGGATGTCAAAAAAGATTTCATGAGAATTTTATTTAATCTGACCACCAATATGTCAGTGAATTCTCCTCCTTTCTCCACATATTGATTTAATTGGCAATCCAATTGCAAACCTAAACCATTATTTAGTATTCACACAAAATTTCACTTCTCGAAAATTTAACAATCACGATTCAGAAGTGATGAGCGCTATATGCCTATAACCAAGCAACTAAACATATATGCTACATATTTGTCAATGTAAAACACCCAGCCGCTCTTACGTACAGTTTTCCCAATAGAAACCAGCAGACATGGATAGTTATGTGCACAGAATGATAAACAGAACAAGCTGGGGATAGAGGAGACCTGGCGTCGAGAGGAAGATTGCGAACGAGCAAGCCAGACGGGGCAGGAGAGCGGCGGTCTCTACGGAACCGGGCATCGTGATAGCGATCACGAGGATCATCATCGTACCGCTTCTGGCCACGCGGTGGAGTTCTGCTATGGCGACGGGGGCTGTAGCTCCGGCTTCTGTACCTGGCCATTTGATTTGCAGCAGAATGAAATCGTAACAGAGCGAGCAAAAACCCTAACCCTACTGGAGCACCTCAGGAAATTTTGGAGGGAGACAACAAACAACAAAATTGATGAGGCGGCGCCAAGACAAAAAGTACATTTACCCCCAAAAAATAAAAAATAAAAAATATTGCAAATATAT